TGGAGAAGAGAAGGCTGCCTGGAGACCTCATAGCGACCTTCTAGTATCTGAGGGAGGCCTATAGGGGTGCTGGAGGTGGGACTCTTCATTAGGGATTGTAGTGATAGGACAAGGGGTAATGGGTTAAAACTTGAACAGGGGAAGTTTAGATTGGATATAAGGAGGAAATTCTTTCCTGTGAGGGTGATGAGGCACTGGAATAGGTTGCCTAAGGAGGTTGTGAATGCTCCATCCCTGTCAGTGTTCAAGGCCAGGCTGGATGAAGCCTTGGGTAATATGGTTTAGTGTGAGGCGTCCCTGCCCATGGCAGGGGGGTTAGGAACTTGATGATCTTAAGGTCCTTTCCAACCCTAACTATTCTATGATTCTGTGATTCTAATGCAGTTGGCCTTCCTACTGATTTAGGTTTGAGTTAATTTATTCAGACTGCATTAATTAGTGCATCTATGAAAAGCAAGTATAGTATTTAACATCCTCTTGTTCAGTGTCCTGTTCATAGCAGCAGAGGTTTATGTGGTTCACCTGCCTAGGTACACTATGAAATACAAGGTCCACTTTGAAATAATGAATCCTAACTTGAAAGAGGATTTTATGCTTATGAATTACACTCTCTCCAAGATTAACATTTTTAGCTCTTTCCTTTCTGTTTTATGGTTTTCCCTCCTGTACTACAATAACTGCATTTCATCCCCTGTGATAAGTCATTCTCAGTGTCTAGAATATTAAAATCTTTCAAGAATCAGTGAAACAGAGCTTGATGAATTTTTGCTTAGTATTGGTTAGGGTTAAAGCAACTTCAGAAAAATGTGGACTCTTTAATATAGTATGCATCATTTTGAAGTCACACATCACTCAGTGAACTACCATGCATATATATCTAGCAGAAAGTGTAGGTATGGAGTTTAGATACAACAGCTGGGTGTTCTTCCATTACTAAGCAGCCTCAACATCAAACTACCAAGCAGCTGCACTGTTTTCAGAGACATAAGTCTGTATCTTTCTTCGTTATTGTGTTACCGTGTTTAGGTGCATCAATACATCTATATTCATCCTAAGAGTGCTATTCTTTTTGCCACTGAATATTTAGCGATTAGTGACATCACTTTTCACCAGTAGAGGTTCTATTTACTAAAGATGAGTGAACAAATTGGCATAAGCAGTCGTACCTTTCAAAATTTTGATTCTGCATTTGGATGGAATAGATGACAGAAAAGATACACTAATCACAGTAGTATTACTTATTCAACTAAAAATTCTTTGTTAAAAGCTGTTTCTCTGGAAATATTTGCAAATTTTATAAGGCAATTAATTGTGTGGGTATGACAGTAGATTTACCTTGCCTGAATGGTTGACTTATACCATTAACCTATGCAAAAAAATCTGAGTTTTACTTTACCTCAAATCTCTTCTACACCCTTTCATGTAACTGCTCATATAAGCTTTCTGTAAACTTCTTCCCCTTCAATTTACCATCAGTGTCATTTTTGTGTACAATTCTTGAAAATATCTTCATTTTCTTTTCCTGTTATTTATGCATAAATTATCTCTTGTGAGATAATCCTCAAGGTTTAATATCTTTTCCTTCAAAATTGTCTGTGACAACTGCAGTAAAAATCTTAAAAACATTGGGTTAGAAACAGAATGTGTATTGGTGGATTCATTACTTTGCTTAATTTCAGACGGTCTGTATTTCTAAGCCTTGTACGGGTAATTTGTATAATCATATGAATTTATCATTATGATTTTCTTACCTTCTGTTATTTGGCACACCTGCTTCTCTTCTTCTTTCACTTTCATTTGAACAATAATCTGAGCATTTGGAGAAAAAATTATACCCACTTGTCTAGTTTTAAACACCTGGTGCAAGGATTTTAACTAGCCTTACAATAATAATAGTTGGTAAGCCTTTCAAAATGTTCCTCTGGTTGTTGGGGTTTGTTTTCTTGTTTTGCTTAGCTCTTGATGGGGTTTTTTTGTTGTTTTTTTTTGTGGGGGTTTTTTTTGTTTTTTTTTTTTTTTTTTTAAGATGGTGGTTGTTTGGGTTGCTTGGGTTTGTTTGGGTTTGCTTGGTTTTAGTTTTTTGATTGCTTATTTCCGTATCATGTCTGTAATAATGGCAGACAGGTCTGGGTCTCAGTCTTAAGTATAAACAGAGTACTGTTGAAAATAAATACTGTTTCTTCTGAAAAAATAAAGATGAAAAAAAAAAAAAAAGTAACACGCCTGTAGTTTCTGGGCTGTTGTAAGCCCATGAAGCTTTTCCTTAGGACTTAGTAGAGAAAGAAGCCAGGGCTGGAGAAAAATTGAATCAAAACTTTGTTTCCAATTCAATGAATTGTCAGACTTGTGTTTCTTGTTGCTGCTGCAGTTGCTATTCAAAATTTCATGTAATCTGTTAATTATTGGAATGCAGATAGACTGCTACTTAGTGTTTTGCATTTTATTTAAACACTGAGATGTTTAAGAGATCCATGAAGTGAAGGAGAACAAACTCTCTGCATAAGCAAAATAACTTGATTAAAGAGGCAGGGAAGTTAGCACACCATAGTTCACTTGAATCATTTTTGAGATTCTCTGATTTAAAAAGAAATCCTCCTTTGGAGAGTGTATAAGCAGGTGTGTCTTGGCTTATTATACAACTTGGGATCCATACTCCCAGCTTAGATAATTTCCTGGCACAAGACCTGATAATGCAAAGCCTTTGCTACACATTGGCTCTTACGTTGGAAGAATGATAGGAGGAATGTCAGGATTACACAGTCTGGTCAGAAAATGCCACAGTCAGGATTTAACTCATCCTTTTTGTGGCATTGTGTCTCACTGTAAGAACATTCATAAGTTTCTAATATTTTCATGTTTCTTTTTGGCTGTCCGTAAAACCATCTCAGTTTGTCATAGTGCCAGCATGTTCACATTCGTCCCCTGGGCAAAACTTGCCACAGTTGTCACCTTGGTGCAGTTCAGCAGGAGGGACTCCTCACCCTCCCTATACCCTTACCTGGTCGGGTCCAGCATCAGAGAAGAATGCAGGGAAGCCAGATCATCTGGTCTTCCAAATCATTGTGATAGGTAGCTGAAAGATAAGGTTGTGAGGAAAAAAAAAAAAAAAAAGTGACTCTTATACAAGAATGTGTTAAGTGACCTCAGCATATGAAAAATTTTGATTTCTGGTATGATCCACTGGATTTTTTGTTGTCCTAAAGCCTGGGAGAAGGGGTGAGGGGAGAGGGGGATGGGAGAAGGTGAGATCAAAACTACAAAGTTGAAGGGTCAAGCATGGAGCTAATGACAGAAACAGATCTTCTGACTCATCTTTTCTGTCTAAAGCCTGGTCCCGTATGGTACCGGAACATCAGATGGAGCCTGGTTAAATGCATTCCAGCTTTTAACTGTAAAGTCTTCAATATCAGTTGGGGGAGAGGGAAAAATGATACGATATATAGCACTTTAGTATGGCATGATAGAATTGGACCACATTCTGAGGGATAATCAGGTTACTTTGTATTTATTCTTTATTATAGCTCTTCAATTTAAAAGCTGTGGGGTACAGTATATACACATTCTTGTAAAGTATTGATGGGTACATTCAAAGCTGCAGAACTTTGTGAAAAATGATTTGCATTTCAAAGCAGTAGAGATGGCTGGTTTGGGTGCGATCACATGGAAGTATTAACTAATAACTTTAATGAGCTTTCTTAATTGCATGGCTGAACTTTTACTGAGGTCCTGTGTTGAAAAGGAGCATCAGCTAACAGTAATGACTCTTGACTTTGGACTGAAGAAACAGAGCCAGAGAAAGACAGATAAAGAGGTAGTTAGTTAATTTTTATTTTTTAATAAGGAATACCATGGTGTATTTCATTGCTTATAGTGTATCAAAGTGGAATAAATAACTCAGGAAGTTCAGGAAAATTTTACGTGTTCTCATAGTCACTTTCAAGCATATGAAAATTGTCAGTGCATAATTATTTATTATATACTTGGAAATTTTGTGCTAACAAGACATAATTTTAGAGAAGTACTCCACAGTACAAAAGGTAGGACAACCACAGAGCAAAAAGATGATACTTTTAGCTTACACACACACACATATATGTATACTTATATGCATGCACTGTACTTTCTTGTATGCATCACAGTGAAGAAAAGTTGTACAGAGGGATGCAAAGAAGGATAATGGGGTAATCCTACAGACATTTAGAGGGAATTCCTATACTAGCAAAAGATGAAGCATGTAGTGCTGGTTGTTTAAGCATGAATGACAGATGCCATGTTGAACAGTAGCACTGACAGTTCAGCACAGTGCCAGTGAGGTTGCCAATTAACATTCCAGAAGTCTAAATAAATGTTCTGAAAATACCACATCACATTTTTCAAATTCTAAATGGAGCATCTGCAATAGCTGGTCAAAGTTCACTATCAGCTTCTTCCAACATTCACCCTGTCCTGCAAAGAGTCAGAAATGTTTAAATTGCCCATATTTGCTTTGCTAGACCTTTTTGTCTTTCATTCATTATTTGTACAATAAGGTAAGGTTACATTCTTTGCATAATGAAGATAAATTCATTTTGCACAAAGCAGTTCAAAGCTAAGGGTGTAGTCTCAGATGTGGCTAGCATAAAGTATTGAATTATTACCTAGGTCAATGTAAATTTAAATTATCCCTTTAATTTATATTTTTTTCTAACCTATACTTATTGATCCAAGTAATCTTTGTTTTCCTGACTTGTGATTGAATATATTTTTTTCTTTATTGATGTGTAATTTACTCCAGTTTAAATCTCAGTTCTGACTCTTGCTTGCCTGCATACACTAACATGCATGCACTCTTACAGATAAATGCATAATGAGTCCTCATCTGTGTGCACGTGGTCTTGCTGAAGGCAGCTGTTAATGCTTGAAGTGCTTTATTTATTCCAGCCACAGTAAAAAAATAAATTCTTTTATCATCTTTTATACTGTCCATCTTCTACTTTACACTCCTCAAAAGTTTTAGATACCAGCTGGCTTGGATAGCTGCAAAAAGCATTTCATATTTTTGGTGTCTAAAATGAACACTCCAGGGGTGCTTGTCTTCCACTGAACCTGTTTACTTTGTGCTTCATACGTTAGGTAAGAGGAAATTAGTTCTCTGTGTGCTAGAAATATCAGTATGAAAGCGCTAACCTCACAGACTGAGCTCTGATCAGGGAGCTCAAAAGCCCCTTTGATCTGAATTCATTGCAAACACCTAGCTCACAGACCCCTATAGATTTCTAGTTTTAAATTAGTGCCTAATGAAGTGAAGTTTATCTCTGAAAACCTTTGTCACAGCTGGACATAACTAGCAATAGTTACTTGCAAGACTACAACTTAAGGGGAAAACTAAATGAATCTCAGCAGGTTATCCTTCTAGGACAAAGTTGAAATGTGCTTTTATAGGTAGCATAATAAAGCATAGCCTTCATCCAGGTCCCTAGACTACATCACAAAAACAGCATGAAATTTGCCTCTTATTAGTAGTCGCTGCATAGAAGCATCAGAGTAGAAAGAAGAAGCTACATCAGTCAAGGGTTATATTCTTCCATGGTTATGAGAGGAGTAATATGTGCATCATTCATCTATGGTCAATCAGAGAACACTATTTCTAGGAAGCTCCAAGATAATTTCTTGTTCACCTAATTAAGTTTTTAACAGTCAAAGCACAACAGCTTTTCATTATTTAGTCCATCCAAACCACACAGTTTCTGTTGAGAATTGTTAATGATACAGTAGCATAAGTAGATTCAAGTACCTACTATTTTTCTCACATGTTGAATCCCCACCCTTCTTATCATCCACAATCTGAGAGGACAGCCCTCCGCCCTCGGGCAGGATGACTTCTATGTCATCACATCCCAAGCTCTTTGTGAGAGGACTGTGGTGCTGTTGCAGCAGTTACTAGTCAGAGTTTCTTCTTCATCAGTCTAGGGTTTTACTCAATATTATTTTTATGTGTTCCAGACAGCTTATTTGCTAATAAACCTGTGTGTTTGCAGCACTAATTTAGTTATGCCACATTTGTTTAAATCTGTGAATCCTTCTGTGTGTACAGGGGGACTTCTTTCATGGTACAATCCACATGACTGCACACAGACAAACAAAACTTGACTCAAAGTTGAAAAATTCTTAAGTGCTAGCCAGATGATTCTCAAAGGACAAAGACACAGGTCAGGCAGCGAATGCCTAGGCACTGGCTAATTTTGTCATTGTGTGTAGGACCAGCTGGGTGATAGGCATCTCTCCAGACCTGAGAGGAAGTTGCAGGCAAGAGTTATGTAAATAATTGTACAAGTACCACTAAAATGAAGCTCAAATTAACCAGTTCAGAAGAGATCTAACAAGGCCTGAGGTGGCTTTTAGGTTTTATAAGTGCTATGAAGCCTGACTCCCCATACTAGCACATGGCCTCATGCAGTCCGCTGTACCACAGGAGTTAAGGCACTTCCCTCAGTCCTTGCTTGCAGCATGACTTACTCTGCAAGTGTCTCAGACACACCCTCCTTTAATGAGCACCTTCAGTATTCTTTTTTTTTCTTTTTTTCCTTCTTTTGTAATGGGTTATTGAGTGTCTTTGTTTAGTCACCTCCATTGAAAAAGTCCTTGCCTTTGGTGACTAATCCTGTGAAGTAGAACATTTGGAGAAGGGCAGTTAATTTAATAGAGGTTATCGTGTCTTCTGCTATCCTCGGTTTTAACATGAAGGCAAGAATGAATAAATCTAACTGCGATTTCCATGGAATCTTTTGTGCTGCTTTGGACGCTGTGCTGCCTAAACACAGCCAGTTCATTTTACCTTGCTATCTTTGTCCCTCAGAGTTAGTTTTCATGTCTTAGAAGTACAAAGATATATTCTATAAAACCTTCTCAGGTGTTTGGTTCTAAAAATCACGTAAAATATCTGCGTGCAGTAAAAGCAAAGAATTAATTTGTCCTTAATGCAAATTGTAATTAGAGATGCATGAGTTCTTCCTTCCTCATCTGAGCCATTGTGTATGTGTATGTGCGAACAAGCTCCATCCCTTTATAGCTATAATGTATGCAATAAATGTTAAAATTAACCTTTTCATTGTTAAGGAGCTCTTTTTTTTTGAAGATAATACATCATTAAGGTTTGCCTTAACATGCTGTTGTGAATAGGAAAAGCAAAAGCCTAGTTTCATACCACCTCACAGAGTCCCAATGCCATAAACCTATCACAAACATGATTAGTCCTATTTGCAGAGTATACGGTGCTTATCTCTGCTTTAGTTCTAGGAGACCCACCAAGAGTGAGAAAAGCCTCCTTTACTTTTTGTGGTAGGAAAAGCTGTTTTATGTCCTCTTACATCTGGAGGGGAAACACTGGATAAACAGATCCTTTGACAAGCCTGGTGATAGTAAGGGAAAATCTGCTTTTTGTTGCTCTCACGATTCATAATAGGTTTTATTGTTTTGGTTCTAGTGAAAACACATGTGCCTGCTTTGAAATGGTTCTGTAAAACTGGCAGAGATCTCCTTTACCTGCAGACTTTTAACTTCTCCCCTTTCCTATCCTTACCACACAGGCCCGTGACGGAGGGTTAGACCGGATCAGTGGAGTCATGCATCACACAGCTGTATCATGCTGGCAGCCATTCCTGGGTCTGGCTGTGCTGCTAGTCTTCACGGGCAACACCATAGGCTGCCCAGCCCGCTGTGAATGCTCAGCACAGAACAAGTCTGTCAGCTGTCACCGAAGGCGTCTGATGTCCATACCAGAGGGCATTCCCATTGAGACCAAAATCTTGGACCTCAGCAAGAACCGACTGAAGAGTGTCAACCCTGAGGAATTCACATCATACCCTTTGCTGGAGGAGATTGACCTCAGTGACAATATAGTCACTAATGTGGAGCCTGGAGCCTTTAACAACCTCTTCAACTTACGCTCCTTGAGGCTGAAAGGAAACCGTCTGAAGCTGGTCCCCCTTGGGGTGTTCACTGGGTTGTCAAACTTAACAAAGCTTGATATAAGTGAAAACAAGATTGTCATTTTGCTCGACTACATGTTCCAAGACCTACATAACCTGAAATCCCTGGAGGTTGGGGACAATGATTTGGTTTATATATCACACAGGGCCTTTAGTGGACTGCTTAGCCTGGAGCAGCTCACCCTGGAAAGATGCAACCTCACAGCTGTACCAACAGAAGCTCTTTCTCACCTCCACAATCTCATCAGTCTGCATCTGAAACAGCTCAACATTAACGCTTTGCCGGCATATGCCTTTAAAAGACTTTTTCGCCTGAAAAACCTAGAGATAGAGGCCTGGCCCCTCCTGGACATGCTACCTGCCAACAGTCTGTATGGTCTCAACCTTACTTCTCTTTCTATCACCAACACCAACCTGTCTGCAGTACCTTACTCTGCTTTTAAACATCTGGTTTACCTGACGCATCTAAACCTCTCTTACAATCCTATCAGCACCATTGAAGCAGGCATGCTTTCAGATTTAGTGCGCCTGCAGGAACTCCACATGGTGGGGGCCCAGCTACGTACCATTGAATCACACGCTTTCCAAGGGCTCCGATTCTTACGCGTGCTTAATGTGTCCCAAAACCTGCTAGAAACCCTAGAAGAGAATGTATTCCATTCTCCTAAAAGCCTTGAGGTCCTCTGCATTAACAACAACCCTCTAGCCTGTGACTGCCGTCTCCTTTGGATTTTACAAAGGCAACCCACTTTGCAGTTTGGCAGCCAGCCACCAATGTGTGCTGGCCCAGACAGTGTCAAAGAGAGGTCATTCAAAGACTTTCACAGCACAGCTCTTTCCTTTTACTTCACCTGTAAGAAGCCCAAGATACAAGACAAGAAATTGCAGTACCTGGTAGTGGAAGAAGGGCAGACAGTGCAATTGATGTGCAACGCTGATGGGGATCCACAACCTACCATATCCTGGGTTACCCCACGTCGGAGGCTGATCACAGCTAAATCTAACGGAAGAGCCACTGTGCTAGGAGATGGCACCCTGGAGATTCGATTTGCTCAAGACCAGGACACTGGGATCTATGTTTGTATTGCAAGTAATGCAGCTGGGAACGACACCTATTCTGCTTCCCTTATGGTAAAGGGGTTTACCTCAGACCGTTTCCTTTACGCCAACAGGACCCCCATGTATATGACAGACTCCAATGACACAAGTTCCAATGGAACTAATGCAAACACCTTCTCTCTGGACCTTAAGACAATATTGGTGTCAACAGCTATGGGCTGTTTCACATTCCTTGGAGTGGTTTTATTTTGTTTCCTCCTTCTTTTTGTGTGGAGCCGAGGGAAAGGCAAACACAAAACCAGCATTGACCTTGAGTATGTCCCTCGCAAAAACAATGGTGCTGTGGTTGAAGGGGAGGTTACTGGACCACGGAGGTTCAATATGAAAATGATTTGATGGTATTTTGCTAGCAGTGCTTTTTCTGTGGCATTAAAACCAATTAAACCAGCCTGGCATGTGGAATTGCTAGGCAGATGCAGCTTAATGCAGCTGTCACTGTATCAAAAGGTTACATGAAAATGAAAAGACTATTTGTGGTTATACAGCAGAGCCTCCAGACCTTGAGGCAGATATGTCAGGGCCTTTCATAGAACTGGGAAATTGTACTAACTGTTTGCATTGCAAATATTGGCATTCTGGGGATATCAGCAATGAACCACTGGCTCATGCTCATGGACAATTGTTCAACATTTTCTACCACTACAAAAATAAAAGAAAAAAAAACAACAACAAAAAAAAAAAGCCTACAGTGTAGGATTTACATACTTAAGGAAAAAGACACATTTGTCTAAAACATACTCTACAGTGAAATTTGTATCTATAGATCTCATTTGGTAAAACCTTTCATCACCCCTTCTAGTTGGTTCAACACCACAAAAAATTGGTAGGCTTTTTGGGTTTTTTTTTGTGTTTGTTTTTTTTAATCTACATCTATACTGTGTACTTTTTAAAGCAATACAAATGAGAGGTTATGCTTTTAGGTGTCCACCAATACTGACCCAAGTGTGATGTCACCCTCCTTTTAAATACCATCTAATCCAAATTAGACACTTGCAGTTACCAATTAGAAATAACGTATTTTTTCTCCTCATGTAGAAGGCCAGAGATGAATAGTTAAGAGCAAAGATGTTCAGCTCTGTTGATCTTCTCTTCATATAAATATAAGGCATGTGCCTAGTTTTGATACAGAATGGAATATTTTTTATATCTGTGATATCACACTGGACCAGTTTACTGTAACAGAGCCCTGGATCTCACCCAGGGAAGGCAACCCACTAGACATTTCTGGCATAGAGGAGCTGAGTTCTACCTTGAAGAGAGAGAGCTGTTTTTGTTAGTCCTGATTTTAATGTCAAAGCCACTGCTAAAATGTTAACGTATACTGGGCAAAAAGAAAGAAAGCATTTTACATAATCCTTGGGAAATATGGTTGTATTACTATTTATAAAAGTAAACTAAAACATACAAATCCTCTGCTACTAGGAACGAACTCTTCTCCAATGCCAAGTAAACGACGGTTGTCCATGTATAATACGGGGATCGTAAAGCTAAAATAATGTTTTAAAACATGATAGCCTCAAAAAGGCTAGCATACTGCCAGATAAATGAACCTCTAGCCACAGTCATTCTCATCTTGTATATTTGTAGATAACAGATAAACACAAAGCTAATTTCCAAGAACAGATTACTTACTTAGCTCTTCTTGATGCCATTTTAATAACTATGTGGTTATGTTTCTTTCAGGGGCAGTATCTTAGAGGAAGAGGGGCAAGTTTTTCCAGGTTTTAGGAAGCTTTTTAATGGAGGGAAGACAGAAGTGGAATGTTAGTTCAGTAGAAGTAACCTTTTTTTGTTTTTTTTATGTCTCAAAACAAATCCTCAAAAGGCTCAGAACTGAAACTTTATTCTTTATCGTTGATACTACTGATCTTACTTTCAAATTCTCAGTAACAGGAAGATACAGAGTTATTCAGCCACCTCTCAATTTTCCAGCAATTATGAGCCATAGGTTTGTTGCTAAGTGACTGATAATAAATACAATTTATAGATGTTTGACATAACTTGGAACAAGGATAATAATGACTATGTACGTTTAACCAAAATTAATATGAAAATATTATAGACAGAATATTCAGATTAATGTGATTTCAGAACCTGTGTCCAATCTTAAAATTAAATTTCAGCACTTTAAAACCAAAGTGAGGCTGACCTGTAATGGGATGTAGACTTTTATAAAATCAGTATCCACAATCTTTGGCAGAGATTTTCTAAGCAGGATAAAAATCTCCCACTCCTATAAAGGGCAACGTGCCAAAAGTAAAATCCAGCTGCACTTCCCTGATGTACCCCTGACATAGCTGTAGGACCCAAGGCTAGGCAGTTTTGAGAATCTCTTTTCTTAGTGATTGATCCGTGGTTGCATCATTGCTCCATTTTAGGTCGCCAGACTAAGAAGGATGCAAGGGTTGTTAGAGTTGTTAGAATTTTCTTCACTTTAGCTGGTTTTAAATTTAGAAGTGAGTTTTCTTGCTGCTTTTTTTTTTTTTTTATTTAATGCTCTGAACTACTTAGTTGGAGATTTATGGAGATGCTTGAGACTAATCCTCTTTGTTCTGTGACAATTTGTAGAACATTAATAAAAAGGAATAACCCCTGACTAAATTCTAACACCAGGGAAATTATTTTTACTGATATAGTAACCACCGCACTGAAGTCCAAAATTCTAGTGTACCTTAATATGGGCAGTTAAAGAAACAAATGGGGATAAAACAAAATGTTTCTGAACTGCCCATTGAAGACATTTGCATGTGCCTTTCCCTTGTAATTGTCATTTTTTTTCTATCAGTAATTTATTGCCCCCACAGTCACTTCATGTTAAATGTTGAAATCAATGTTAGAAGCAAAAATTCTCCTAAATTCTAGACAGTTGCAGCTGACTGATTCATATTAAATGACACAATTAAACAGAATAAATCTCAAAAGAAATATCAAAAAATGTGCTTTTAGGATTAATTATGAATTGCTGAATTCCCCTGTTCCCTGAGAATGACTCTAAAAAGTGATTGCATCGTTAGTGCACTGCAAGGTTTTCTGAGCAGCTCTGTGCTTAGTTACTTCTGTGAAATGTGTGCTGGTGATGAAAATCAGTGCTTGCTCTTGCTGAGCACCACCTTGCAGAGCTGTCAGCATTGTGTGTATCGCCTTGAGTTCAGTCAGTATTCGGTTTTTAAGAATCAGTGTTTGCTTCCTGCCTCTAGCAATGTTCTACTTTTTGTAGCCTATTTATTTCACCATGGACTTGGCAAGGCATATGGCATCTCTTAACAGAAGGGAGAACAGCAAGACTCAGAGACAAGCTTTTATCTTGCTCCACATAGTCTTCGTTGCGTGTGTTTGCGGGACACATGCTTACTGTGGCTGTTTTGGATGAATAAGGAGTACAGCATCAGGGTCAGACCTATATAAGCACCTTTGTGACAGTTCTTTTAAGACCAGGATGGCTGAATGCCTACTCTGCCTCTTGAAGGAGTCATTTCTTTTCTGCTAGAGATCAAGGAGACACCACAGTTTATCTTACTGCAGAAGAAAAAAAGGGCTGGGCTGTGAAGAGGCATCTGACCCACATGGATGCCCTATCACACAATGAGACAGGTGGACAGTGCATATCTGCCACTAAAAAGGGAATGAAGTGTATTCCCTTACCTCTGACTTGCATATTGTCTGCCCCTCATGCTGTTACAAGACCGAGCCTGAACTCTCTGGGGAGTCAGTACAGTGAGAGTCTAAGGCACAGAAATAGTTCTGCAGAAAATGAAAAAAATGAAAATGTCAAAACCACCAGAGTGACTTGAGAAAGCAGGTACCATGGTAAACTAGTCAATAATTTCTGTAAAAGCAGTGCTGAGCCTCCCCCAAATACGTTTTGATGGTCACTTCCACAGGCTGGTACTCCTCTTTCATAATGAATGGATGTGCACATGCTCAGATTCCCCATCACTGAGCTGAAGAGGACCCTGCAACAACGTATTAAGAAAAGAGTTTGCAATAGTGTAAAATGGATTACGACTAAGCAGTGCCTAACCTCAGCCTTATTTTTAGGTTTTGAGCTGGTTCTCTTCCCCCCTCCCCGCCCTTCTTCCTTTGTTATTAATTGGCAGCATTCTTTTCAGAAATGCTTAGTCCACAACATCACCTCAGTTGGATTCAGACTAGGAGACTGTGTTTACCCTCTATTTCCCCTTCCCTTACCATTCATGAACCCTCTGTACCCTCCTGGTGCCAACAGGGTCAACAGGTACAACTGAGATCAGGCGGGAGACTTTGAGCCCCCTAGAGAATTGTGGATACAAGCTGATGCCACTAGATATTTCTTTAAACAATTTTTTTTTAAATTAAGTTCATGTTATTGTCAAGCATTCAAGGTTTCCTTTATTACTGTAGATAACTGTAGATATCTTTTTTTCCTTATTTCTTGCATCATGGTATTGCACCAAATATGATGGCAACAATTATATTATCAAAAAGAAAATTAAGAAAGAAAACCACATTACGTCCTCAACACCACAAATTGTAGTTGAAGCGTAAGGAGATAGTAAGAACTCAGCATGAATATTTAATGGAAAATCTTTTAAACCTTTGATAGGGGGGAAAAAAATGGTGTGGAGAAACTTTGGAATGTACGCCATGTTGTGACTGAATCACACCAAAGTTATGTTGAAATAGACTTTCCTACACCCTGCCTAGATGTCTGTCCTAGATACTGGACTTTTCCCAAAAAACATTCAGGATGTGTGAATGGCTGAAGCACACATTTAACCCATGAAAAGGCAAATTATTGTTCAAATCCTGTAGCAAAAGCAGCTTCTGGATGCCCAAGGACAACAGCAGCTTCTATCAAAGACAGCCAAGAAACTGCTGTCATACAGTTATTTTGCCTCATCTGCTACTGCATCCTGTGAAAAAAGGGTCCTTAGCCAGTAATAAAATGGAAAATCTTTATACATTTTTCTTTGAAGGGGGCAACATTGGTGCAATATGCTACAGTTTCACCTCCATCCCCAGCAATGAAACATCTAGGAAGAAGTGAGGAAGAGGAAACCTATTCTGGACAGTTTGCTAATTACCTTTTTCCCATGAATGATTGACGACTGCTGTCTATTCCTGTCCTTTCAGCTCCCAGTGTGGCTTGACATAGAGTAGCAGGGAAAGAAGCACATAGTCAGGCTGTCCCTCCTCCATGAACTGTAACTCTGGTCTTCTCAAATAAAATAACCAGTGCATCAGCAGTGTCTTACAAATGGCAGACTGCTGCAGCTCATTTGTAGTTTTGCCGTAAGACAACATGTGGGACACATTCTTTCTAACCCCATTTCAGTATCCTAGGTGACTGTGCTAAAATGAAGTAAGAAAACTTCCATCCAGTAATTTAAAAGTTAATTGTGCCCAAAGGAGTTTAAGGAGCACATTTGGAAAAGGTAAAGTGCCTGATTGCTGGAGAATCCCTGAAACAGTAAGATTTCTCAAGTTAGCTAAGCAATTTGGATGCCCTGTTTCTATCACCTGTAATAAGAATTACAAACTCAATTTCCCTTGGCAGCTTGGAAGAATCACAGCCAGTTGGTTCAGTGATACATTTTCCCTTTTTCTTTCTGCTAGCTCTGCCCTCTTCCCTTCTCAGTTTCAAATGACTGTGATGCTAAATGAAGATTTCTGGGTTCGGTTTAGTTTCACTGCATATTCACATGGCTTTTGGAATCTAGACCTCAAAGCAGGATCTTAAATCCTCTTCAAGCCAAAAACAGAAATAAAAAAAGAGACAAAGCTTGGGTAAACCTCCTCCTGCAAATGAAATAAACCAACTTCTGTGAGGTTGCTGCTACTGAGATAGCTACGTGCCAAAAGCAATCTGCAGGTTGAATGAGTCTTAGTCTTTTTTTCTTTTTTAACTAGAAGCAGGTGGTTGGATATAAGGCCAGCTGGAAACAAATATCTGTATTTATAGCCTCAGTGGAATAAGGAAAGAGCTGGAATAGTCAAGAAAAAGTTCCACATGATTTCAACTTAAAATTAAGAATATCCATATTCAAGTAGATCATAGAAGGGTACAAAAGAGTACAAAATGGAGCCATAATTACCATGAAGCAGAAGTCTTGAAGCTAGAGACTGAGAACAGTGGTCAGGCAATATACATTAGGAGAAATCCTCTTGACACCATTCTCTTACTCCCTGGTTACACTATAAATTTGATAAACAAATCTAGTTCTTTTGCTTTCTACTAAGTAAGGCTATAATGGAAAACAAGCAGAACTTACATTTTAATTATTTCTCACCTTGTGTCATACTTCCTACTCTAGATTGCTTTAATATTTACCGCTGCTTACTGAACTGGAGAATGTGAAAATGTAGATTCTGGGAAGAAGCAAAAAAGAAAAAAAAAAAGGGCAAAAAAAAAAATGTGTAACCTTAAAGAAGTCTGCCTAATTTTATGTGTGTCATTTGCAAGGCAACAACATCATCTCCTCACACATAAGCCAAGAAAAGTGGCTTGAAATTTCAAGGCAGATGTGAAGATGGTTGTCAACTTGTACACATGTTAATAATATCGATCTTTCAGAAAATAAAATATGATTATTTCATGAATAATTCATTTTGATACATAAAATTGAATGACACTTTGGCTTCATTACAGTGGGCACTGCGTAAGAAGAAAGTAAATGACAACCCTAATCTGGTGAGCTTACAGCCATACAGTAGGAAGCTGGCTTTTGGGCAAGTACATATGATAGCAAGTCTCTCATTGTTTAGGGAGGGAATGCCATAGTGCATATATATCAAAATATCATCACACTTACTGAAATCTATTTGCAAGCACATGTAGTTCATATGTATATGTTTGTGTGTGGAAAAAAATATATATTTGTTTTGTTCTTTTCTTATTTCGAGTATTAAGTGTATATTGTTTTTAAAAAGTGACAAGGTTAACCAGAAAAAATTGTGTTGTAATTTATTTTAATATATATGATCATAAGTATGGATGGGAAATGAAACAGTCTTGCTGTTATGATCCATGAAGCACATGACAAGTTGGGTTTGTCCATAAGTTTGCTTCATGTTTGAGTAAAATATGCTAATATAATGGGGGGAGGGGGAAGAAAAAAGAAAAAGAAAAAAAAAAAAAAAGCTTTGTTTGTCAAGACAGTTGTCCTGAATGTCATTTTAAAAGTTACTTTAGGGTTTATGTGTATCATACTTATCCAAAATGAAACATGAATAAATAATTCCATGGAGTGGCAAAATTTACTGCTAAAAGTGAAGAAAATGTACATTGTTTCACCTATTGTAGATGATTGCTCTTCTTCCAACGGGTAGTGGAAGAAGCTAAGATGACAAAAATACAGTTTTCTTAGCACCAGACCCAAGGTCTTTAGCACCAAGTCTTCAAAGCAGGAATCCGCTCAGACTCACAACTCTTGAGAAGGTTCCAGCAGGTATTTTTGATCTGTTCACTTTCATCCCCTTTCATTGCATGGAGCCAACAGACAGAGTAAAACTTAGGTCCCATTCAGATGTGGTTTGGGATTTATTCTCCATGCAAAGTATCAGTCAGCCTGGTCCCTCTCTTTCACTTGCACAGTGTATACAGGTAACTGATGGGGATAAGTTAATGCTGGAAGAAAAAAACCTGCCACTTGCTAGCACCATGGAGAGCACAGGAGAAAGTTAGATTTCACCAGCTGTGTGTCACTTGGAAAGCAACCAGTACTGAGAATCTATATCTGAAACATGATTCCTAAGGAAATCACCAGTATTCAAACTCTACTGTAACTGCACCAGAAAAATTAAGTAGTGGAAATTAGATTCTGTTGACCTTGAAAAGCTATTCCAAACCCCTGAGGCTTGCCACAACCCACTAAATCTATGGCAGAGATCAGTCTTGAAGGACATAGGCCATAAACTAAACTATTGCTACTCCCATTGTCCCCCAGCTAGGTACTTCCATCAGCAGAGGATTTTATGTTCTGGGATCGTCTGAAATAAGATTTATCAGCCATGAGCCCATTATCCTCTAAATCATGGTCCTGTTCACTAGAAGGGTAAAACAAAGTTGTTATTGCTACCTCAGGAAAGGAAGAAGCTGGATTCCCAGCTGGATTGCTGGGAGCAGTGGCAGACAGGGGCTGAATCCGAGCTCTTTTGTGCATGCCTCTGTCTGTCTGTCTTTTATGCTTCTGCATTTGCATCTGGCACCTCCAAAAGGTTTTGGCTAATATGCACCACTGTACCCTCTTCTGCAGCAGAACGTCAAATGCAATGAATCCATAGGTTAAAATCAACTCTTTATTATGTTAAGAATCCATTTTATTTTTATGTTCTTTTATTTTCCTTTTAATTTTGTAATTTGATTGTTGTATTCTACAGTACTGCCTTCAGTATGGCATGAAAAAGGAGCCATTGCTCCCACAACTGCATTGGGAGCATCAAGTTTGCACTGAGTTTGTTTTCTCTAAAGATTACTCCACCTTAAGTTTTAGATTTATTTTATGCAATTCTATTTTCTCTTTTGGACTACCTGTCACTCTCTCAAGAGGTGGAACCCGTTCCTAAATCACATCTAATATAGAAGAAACTACTAATCTTCTCTGTGATAACTGGGTGGAGAAAAACACCATCACATTAAGCAATCACTGCCAAATTCATTAAAATAATCCTGAATTTTCTAAAGCACATTCACAAATTTTTGAGAATATTTGTACTTTCACAGATCCATTCTAGATTTGTCTCACAGTCAGTAACCCTATATTGGATAAGACGGTAACCTTTAAATAAACAGATCTTGGCATCCAAAGTTTATTTTAAGAAATGCCTGGGTTAAATATTTTTGTATTTGAAAAAAAAAGTAGTGGGAAATGGGAAATAGCACTATTTACCAATAAATAAACTCAGTTCACAGAGAGTGAGTTATTCTCACATGGGGGAATGCTCACAGCGAATTTTCTGCACCATAAAACCTTCACACATACAGCAGTAGATAACATGCTATAAAAAAGGGCTTTATTAGTCTCCTGCACTATCTGGACTAGGGCAGAAGCTGGTAAATCATGCTGGGAAAGTGTGAATAAATCTGCAGCTACTGGTTTAAGAAACACAGTTATTGAACAGAACTGTACCTTGCTTTCTACAGACTCGTTAGTGGGCTGGGAGAATTGGTCTGAATTCCTTCTTTCCTAGATATAAGAGATCCCCCATGAAAGGCTCTTATTTTGCCTCTGTTCTTTGAAAGATAAGTTTCAACCTTAGTACTCAATGGGAAATGTAACGCAGTAAGAAGTCAGCAAAATAGAGGATTGCATAGTAGCAAAGAAAAGAAATCAAAGCTTGCATTAAAAATTACCTGATACTGGTACTTAGCACCTTGTCTAAGTAACTTTGAAATTATTTGGGTTAGCAGGAGCTGGTTTATTAATTAATAGCTAGGGAATACACTCAGCTAGTTAAAGCTGTAATCACCAGCTGGAAGATACTTACCTCATCAGTCCTTAAGTGGAAGTTATATTTTTCTGAGCTATTTTCCAATAACTTTCCTGTTTATATAACTCAAA